CCATCTAGTGGTGTCACCCGAACTCCATTTGATTATGTACATGAAGTGCCTGTCAGAGAATACATTGATGAAGTGCCTGCTAGATGATACAGATGTGAAGTGCCTATTAGAGATTTCAGAGATTAGGAGTTTCCATCCCAAAGAATTGACCTGAAATATCTGATAAACTAGGATTTTGAGGGTAACAGGGGATTTGCTGCATTTGGACCGTCACTTGGATTAGGATGAGTTCATTAAGTGGCTTCAGACATGGAATTTTTGTTTGAGTACCAGGGCTTCCTACATAACAGAATGGTGAAACTAGCCACTAACAAGTTAAATAAGAGTGCATTATTTTGGTGGCAAAATTTGAAGCAGCCATACCAACGTGAGAGAAAATATAACATCATTACTTGGTCTAAGATGAAATGGAAGATGCATCGCTAGTATCTAGCAGCTCACTACAAGCCGAATGCTCAGACTCCAGCTTCAAAAGAGGGGAGATCATATCACCGGGCGATCATCATATTTTACAGGCAGAGTGCAACTTCAGGACAATATAACAAAATTCTACTCAGGGAAACATTTAAGTTGAGCCCGCTCTAGGAGACACTAGGTCAGAGTGGAGAATATGTTTAATTAATCCACATTCTCAAATCAATCCCAACCCATAAGTGTTCAAATGCCGTAGATTTGAGCATACTGAATCAGATTGCAGAACCTGTAGAATGATCTATTTCATAAATCAGGGAGCAGTTAAAGAAAAAAACAGTGATCTAGGAGAAGATGAAGATTTCAGAGAGGATTCTCAACATCCAGCCGACCAAGAAGAGGCACTAGTAATTCCAGTGGAACTCAGGAGAGACTCCAACTTACTTTACAACAACTATTCTAGATGGAAGTAAGTCTGAGATAATGAGTGTTCAGATAGAGTAGTGGTGCCTCAAGCTATCATTTTGTAGGCGTTGAGAAGTGCATCAACAAAACTAACATTGGATGTTCAAAAGGGTCATGAATTTGAGGAGCTGATATCAGTCACAGTGCATTTCCAGATAAGAGAAATCCAAAATTTTTAGATCTATATGCTACTTCTTATGTTGTCTCTGTTGAGGAAGGTGCAATATGTCCGAGATGCGACTCTTTTATTCTAATTTTGAAAGCTCACAGGGAGTCATTTGGGTGGTAAGTTCAGTTCAACAGTGTACCCGTCGACAATTGATCAGGCATGATAGATGAATCAGTGTTGGAAATCTCCTTAGAAGTATTGTCGGAATGGACATCCAATAGTGAGATTCAAACATTTTAAGAGAAGAAGAAGAAAAAAAGAGAACTTTTCTGAGTTGTTACCCGTCAGTATGGTCGATTCAAGCGTAGATTTCGTCCAAGAGTTGACCCATTCTTACATTCTAGATTTCGTCACTTAATTATAAATGAAATTTACTATAAAAATTCTAATATAAAAAAAAACCCTACTAACCTTATTATGCTCCGTCGGTGCCTTTCTATATGAAATCACTCAAGTCCTCTTCACTGCATGCTAAGAGGCCCAGTTTGGTCTCCTCCCACATGACGCCCCTGGCCTCTTCTCCTCGTGTGGGGGCTCGATTTGGTCTTTCCTCATTCCTTCGCGAACGAAGATGCTCCACTCAACTCTTACCTTTATCTGCATGCAAGCCCACCTCTCCATAAAAAAAAACGCGACTTTGGTCATCTCTCTTCTTTCTGAGTGTACGTTAAGGTTGCGCACGCGAGGTACAATTAATCTCCTACTTCATTCTCGCACAACACTCCTTTAGCGTGCCCTAGGTACCCCGACTCCTTTATTTTTTCTGATTCGCTCCTGCCACCCTGATTCGTCTTGGTTGAAATGCCACCTTCGTCTCTCTTCTTAACTCAAAGGCATAGCCGATGAGACAGTTGTATGCTCTAGTTGACATTGAATAAATTTCATTTTTATGCATTTATTATTATTATTATTATTTTTGTTAGGTATTATAAATATCTCTCTTTGTAAATTACACCTTCAAAATTTATGAACTTCACAAAAAAGCTAATCATTATGCAGATGAAACATGAATTACTAAAAAATCTTCAAGAAAGTTTAGTTCTTCTCAAGTGGAATAAAAAATAAATGTGATAAATTCAATATTCGAAATAAGATAATTCAATTAAACAATGCATAAACATCTGAAACATAATATAATTAAAATAATATTACATCCTAAATAGGGTAACATAACTTACACAACACTCAACTTTTAAAATAGAAATACATAAGGATACTCAATATAAGATAACTAACATGAAAATCATAGCACAAAACACTCATCAAACTCAATTACCATTGGCATCAGTAGCAACAAATTTTTTCAACTATCAATGAGGTAAGTGATAGACTATTGTTCAAACGTTTTGCCTTGGTTGCTCATTATGAGTCACTATTCTAGCTTCTGTCATCTTCTGTTTACCACTTGTAAAAGAATATTCGTGATGAAAATTTCTTTGAATCCCTTATTTAGTTAGCATTTGGTGTGTCTTTGAGCATAATTTGGACAGTTCTTCATCTGATGTTCATGCTCTTTGCATAAGTAACATCACTTTGAACAAAATAACCATTTAACACGTTGTAGCTTCTCACACTCAACGCAGGGCTCTGAAATGCTATTGCCTACCTGGCTATTAACTTCATCAATATACGAATTTATTTATTTCCCATTAGATACTTCAAAATGAACTATGGGTACCACTTCTTTTGAGCTCTTCCTCTTGTGTATGTTTCTACGCTTCTGAATTTGTTGAAAATTAATTTTTACTTGTCTAGCCCTCTTCACTAGCACTAAATAATCTTCAATCCCAAGTGATAGTAATGGCTTCTTGATTGAATCTTTTAATTCAGAAAAATATATGTATCGCTTCTCTTCTGTAAAAGATATTAGTTATGGTGCATACCTCAATAGCGTATTAAAATCCGCTTTATCCTGCATAACTGTCTTGTATCTACTTTGGTGTTGAAAGGGGAACAAACCAATCTTTAAATAGTTATGTAAAATCTTTCCAATTAACTGGTCCATTCAATATGTCTTCCAACATATCTTGACGCTGCCCTTGCCTCCGTTTTCCATGTAAAATAAATGTAGCCAGGGGCACCTTCCTCTCATCTGGTCTATAAACATATTGCCCAAAATCTTCTCTATTCGTAATAGAAAAAATTTCAGCTATTATTGGTCTTTCTGTTCTCTTAAACAATGCCGACCCCAAGCCCAAATCCTGTAAGATCTTAAAATATTTATCCATTGCAAGAGTACCACCATTTTCATTTACTATGATATTGTCTTGAATAACTTGGGTCATAGCCATCATCTTGGATAAGAAATTTATATTCATTGTGATATTGGGTGGTAATTCCTCTCCCACCACTAGAGCATCCTTAATTTCATATTGAGTATACATATGTATATGATAAAATAAGGTTACCTAGTTAGAATTAACCTAACTCAATTCACTTAATGCCTTAAGAATTAAAATTCGCAAATATCCTAATGCCTGTTTCATTAGTATTCGTGTTATTTAATCAAAATCTTTTAGCTCTGATACTGTTTTTTTTATGACCCGGTCCGGGAGTCTGAAATTTCTGAGATGGGAATCAACGGTTGAACAACAAAATTTAAAATTTCCTACTTCACGTTCATTCTTTTTTTCTGCTTATGATCAACAATTTCAAATATCCATATTTTAAAATTAGTTGGTAATAAATATTGATTTCTGTCAATAATTAATATGATCTAATATTAATATTTAGTATACTTAATTAAATATGTTAATTCAAAACTTAAAATTAAGCTCTTACCTCCTCATTACTGTCAAATCGACTCGATTTCCAATTCAATATTTCTTTAACTTTAGTTTTCTGTTTTAATAATCATAAACCTAATATGCTTTATCACTAAATTATAAAAGAAATTAAATCTAAAAAAATACTAATATAAACAAGCCCTACTAACCTTAATATGCTAAGTCTGCCTTCCTTCTACACAGTCACTTGAATCCTCTTCACCGTATGTTATTCGGCTCAATTTGGTCTCCTCTTGCACGAAGCCCCTCACCTCCTCCTCTTTGCATCCTGTGGCTCGATTCGACATCTCCTTCTTCGTTCACACACCAAGCTGCTCGATTGGTTCTTCCCTTTACCTGCACGCAAGACCCACCTCTCCTTCGTTCAAAACTCACGACTCCGGCTTCTTCTCTTTTCTTCCCAAGCGTACGTGATCGGCTAAGGTTGTGCACACAACATACAATGCTTCTTCCTTCTCGCACAACACTCCTCCATCAGCATGCCTTAGGTACTCTACAACTCTTTTCTTTCTTCTTCTTCTTCTTCTTCACTCTCGCCTCTCTGATATGTCGGGTTGAAATGAGACCTTCCTCTTTCCTCTTAATGTCAGTTGAAACAAGACGATTGTTTGCTCGAATTGACATTACCAAATAAAATTCTTTTTTTTTACAATTATTATCACTATTATTATTTTCAATTATTATAGTTATAGATTGTAATTTTTTTATGCTTAGCTTGTTAATGTTCGGCACTTCCAAATTTTATTAAGAAGAAGCGATTTTTAGAACTTGGTAATTTATTTCAAATAGCTTATCCATATTACCAATACATTCTTGAGTTTTAGCCATTCTACCTTTGATCATTTATTTACCCTGGTATTTGTGTAATGATTGTAAAATCAATATCTTTTATTGCAGGAAAAATAAATTTTATATCATCTGTATCACAGCTTGCAAAGGCATGGGTGTATATTGTTTTGGTATATCATATTGGCATGTGTACTTTGCGGCATCCTTTTAGAATACGTAAATTTATTTTGTTTTGTTCTTAAATAATCAATTTTTTCTTACATAATCAATTATTGAGCTTGTTTTATGTGATTGGGGTAATCTAACTATTTAGGTCTTTGTCAGCGATTTTGTTACAGTATTTGGACCCTTTTATACTCTTTTTATTTTAATTTTTCTAGATAAGGTTCGAGTCCAAAGGTGGGAAAAATTCTTCAATAATGTTCTGCACAAATGGCATTCTTTTGAGATTACTAATTGGCAGAGGTGCAAATGCATCGGAGATGGCAAAGAAAAAGGGATCAAAAAAGGACACTCTTCTCGAGATAACCCACATAATAGTGGTAATGCTATGTTAATCTTGTTGAAACGTTATTAAATTTTGGTATTTTTATCCGCATAATTTCTGGGTGTTTTGGGAATGCACATTATGATTAAATATAGATGAATTATTAGCCAATTATCTTGAATGACTGATATAAACAAATTGATCATTTATATTGCTGAATGAAGCTAGTTGCTTTTACCATATGCTTCCATATGAGAAACTATGTTTTCTTTGATTGGAACTAAAAAGTGCTCCTCATTAAAAGGATTTGAAGGAATGAGAATAAATAGTGATACCAAAGACAGAAATGACATTTGTAAAAGAAAAGAAAAAAAAAAACAGTTAAAGCATCTATCTGTAACAATATGAATTTAAAGCTTATCAAGAGGATTGATTTCCCGCATCGTTTTGATAATGTGGAGAGTTTTTTTTATCACTAGTATCCATGAAAAAATAAGCTTGGAAAAAAATATTGAACCTGGTACCTACTTCCCTTTTTTATTGGAGTAACATCTATTATTCTTCTTTCAAATATTTCACAGTTGATTTAAATAAAATATATTAATTTATCTCAGTCTTTCTTGATATATGAAGGTCGCCACAAAGAAAACATTGTTTCAAGGTAAATTTCCTTCAAATTCTAGCAATAAAACTGCAGTTTAAGAAAAAGATGAGAATCTTCCTCCGGTTATTGCACATAACTAAATTTTTGAAATATTGTTTCCTATACGTTGAAGTGATACTTGCTAGGAACCATGCCCATATAAATGCTCAAGCAAAAACGTTATTTTCGGTGGGACAGAGACCTCCCCAATCCAGCTTGTGGAAGAAATATGAATCTCTCCATGCATAAGGAAAGACTATTAGGAGCGAGCAAAGGCTTAAGTTTTTCTTTAGCCGTTAAGGTACCTGCAGGCTTCATGACTTAAAAATAAGTTAGATGCGGGGCTAGGGAGCCAGCAGGCCGAACCAGCTGGCAGGAGGAACCGGTTCTATCAGCTCCATTAAGTCCCGGTGCAGGTCTCAACCGGACCAGACGACTATTTGACGGGGGCGACAGTGCCTCCCGCCCTTCCCCAACCTTCCTTTCTTGTTTTTTTCTTTATGGGAGTCTTTTTAATAGCTGTTTGGAGGAATCAGGGTTATGTTTTGGTATTATTGCTGAATTAGATTCTCCTTGGAGTCTCCTTTTGTTTTGTTAGGGTTGTATCTAATGACGAGTGGTGCTTCAGCTGTATCTTGCTCCGAGGTAATGTTGTATCCTCTCATATTGCCCTCCCTATCACTTCTCCTTCACCTCCCTTAGCTGCCAGCCATCCCATCTCTGTCCAGCTGTCCTGCTGCCCCCTTTACAGCCGCAACCTTGCTGTCCATCTCTCTAGCCTACCTCCCAACACTCCGCCATCCCTTCCCCTGCAGCAAACATTGCTGTCCAGCTCTCCAGGCCTCCAACCAGCACTCTAGGCCTCTTGCATCTTAGGGCCTGACTTTGCTTCGTTGATTGCTTCTTCGTTGACACAGTGACATGTACTACAATTTAGAGGAAGAGTTGAGATCAGCATGCTTTATGAAGAGGAAGATAGACGTCCCATGAGTGAGAGGCATTTGGGTCTATGAACTTGCATGATCGCATGGGACATTTTATTGAGTGCACTGCAATCTGCTGGAACTTAGAAAGTGGAGAAAGCCTAAATGATTGCTTTGATATCTTGCTAGAAGAGAGTTAATTAGAAAGGATTACAACTTTATTGAGTTGATAATTTAGGTATCATAGCTATATGAAAATCCTATTATTTTATTAAATTTAGATTTTGGGCTACAGTAACCACCATTTGCAGTAAGGAGCGATGCAAATTTTTATTAACGTAAATAGAAGTTAAATAATAATTTTGTTGAAAGATTGGAAGGATACTACATGACTGTTTGAAGTGTGAGTAGGAAATAGTAGTAGGTAAATTTCTAGCTTCATGCATTGACATCATTAATGCTCTTTTGGCTGCTCATATAAATAAAATTACATGGTTATTCAATGCAGCGATTTTCATCTCTAGTGATTTGGCTTTGCCTTTATTTCTGTTGAAATTATTCAATCATTCATGTGAATTCTCCAATAGTCTATAAAGCATTGATATGGGCATGGGACAAACTTGATATGGTAAAACTGTGGGTCAGGCTTGGATTAGCCAAAAAACCTAAAAATATTGTTTGACATTTTAGTTAATCTGAGCTAACCAAAGCTTTGAGTGCTAATGCAGGTCCCTCAATCACTGGAATACTAAACTTCTAATTTGAGCCTTTTGGTGGAAGGAAGCTGAAGGCGTAGGCTGGAATCACATAGATAGGTCACATAGGTATCTCTAGAAAGCTTTGTGGTCCTGCTCTGGACGTTTCAGTCTTTGCCAACAAGCATTAGGGATAATTAGCACTCATCCACATTAGGATCCAACAACAGGAAGTCTATTTCTTCCCTTTCTATTCTCCCATCTCCTAGTCCCTCTCAGATTTATTTCCCCATTCACATCTCCAACACTTCTTCCTCCCTCCCTCTTTTATCACTTAGTCTTTCAGACAACTAGTAATATAATGTCACATAGCTATCTCAAAAGCAAGGTTGCAAATGTCACATTTTTGTCAAGTTAGACGTGTGATTTTGATTTGTATGCGGTCATTACCTTGGTGATGGTGGTAGATATGAAGTCACTGTTATCCTTTATAAGGTCAGGCATTCTTGTGGTTTAAAATTATGATTCGTACAATCAAGTGCTTGGGCCTACCATTGCCAACGATTGATAATTCGAGTTAATTTGAGTTCTTCCCAAACTAGATTTGATGATTAGATTTGACACCCATCGAATTTGCTTGGTTTTTTTGCCTTAGTTGATACTTCTCTGTTGACATTGTTTGAGATTTCATTGAGATCATAACAATTTTCTTGTATATAATGCGAATCAACAAATATTAAGAGAGAGGGAAGGACGAGAGAAAAGTAAAGATGAGTAAAGAAATGATGAAGGAAAGCGTAAAAGGAATTTAAAAGGGGAATCTTGTTAATGTATTGTGGGGGTAAACAAAGAGAAGAAATCAAAATTTACCATGATGAGTTGGAAAGACAAGATTAGTGGAGGCTTTAGTTTCAATTCATCAACAATTTATCATAATACCGTAATACCGACCGCGAATCATTATTAGATTGCAAACTAGATGAAGTAATCATTTAAAATTAAATCTAGTCCTAAATAATTCAAAATATAAAGATAACATTGAATGGATAATTCATCCTAATTTTAAATAAAAGGAATCCATAAATCCTAGTTTAAATTATGTAATTAAAATAAACGTAAAATAAAAACAAGTATTTTCTTGCAATGCTTCAAATCCTAGATGGAATAAAACTTTCTTAGATGTTTGGTGGTTATGGTGGACTGATGGAGGAGTTGGATGAACTAATTTTTTGAACTGTTGACCTCAATTTTTTCGTGAGGTCTAGTATTTCTTGTAGGAATTAGGATCTAGCCTTAGGGGTCTTCCTGCGACTATCTTAGCACCTTAGAAGTGGTGCCCGCCTCGTTTTAGTTCGACCTATTTCCGTCCTCTTTTGGAGTTTCGCGTGTGCGGTATCGACTTCTAACACTTAGAAGGGTGAAATCGACATGAGGAAACCCAAAATGGATTCCTATAGGACTTTTCCGAGCCTTAGGGTGGCCTTCTGCACAATTCGCACTCCTGCTCGCACCGGCTTCGCAATTCGGAGAGTCGACGTAGCCGATCGCCGCAATTCACATTGCCTCCGCTGTTACTTGTCGAATGCTCGAGTAAACCTTTTGGTACGATCGATCGCGGGTCAATATTTTGTGAAATTTGAATTTCGATGCATTTTGATCCGATTGTCGACGACGTCGTCCGAGCGACCCCGGATGACGAAACGGACTGCACCAACGTCTGGGCCAACGCGTCTGGAACATCGATTTTGCCCGAGGAGGACACCCATTTTATCGCGTCGTCGCGCTCGAATAAATTGTTTTAATTAATATATATATATATATATATATATTAATTAAAACAATTTATTCGAGCGCGACGACGCGATAAAATGGGTGTCCTCCTCGGGCAAAATCGATGTTCCGGACGCGTTGGTGCAGTCCGTTTCGTCATCCGGGGTCGCTCGGACGACGTCGTCGACAATCGGATCAAAACGCGTCGAAATTCAAATTTCACAAAATATTGACCCGCGATCGATCGTACCAAA